CTCAACCTTTATAAACTTTAAATCTCTTTTTTGAATTTCTTTTTTGAATATGATAATAAAGAGTAAAACTATAGCTACCTAGTCTTCCACCCCATCAGAGACCTGAGAAGAATAAAATATTGCCTGAGTAAACAGAAAGGACAGAGCAAGCAACTTCCAAAACTATAGAATTGACAGACAGTTGGCTGCCTGGACAGTTAAGGTTCCTCTGTAATGTTGGAGCATCCATCTTCAGCCTACAGGCCTAGAATATCTGACAGATTTTTCTGTGAAGCAGGAATTTTGAAGGACTTGTTTACCCTCTCTTGGCAAAGTTTGACAATTGACTTCCCCTGTGTCCTATTTGCCAATCTGTACAATTTGTTCATGCTGCATTTGTTTCATTATGCAAAGATGGGTGGCAAGTTTTACCTTGTCTGCCTAAGGCACCTGATTTGTCTAATAAAAAGATGAACAGTCAGTAGCTAGGCAGTAGAGGGATAGGCAGGACAGGCAGGCAAAGAGAGGAAGGAGTAGGAGAAGGCTCAAGAGAGAAAGAGAAGAGACAATGAGGGAGAAAAAAAGGGAGATGCCCAAGGCCAGTCAGCTAGCCATCTGCCAGCCAATCAGACATGGAGTAGGACATACAGGATGAAAGAAAGGTAAAAAAGCCCCAAGACACAACTTAGATGAAAAGAAACAGGTTAAATTAAGTTATAAGAGCTAGTGGGTCAAGAATAAGATAAGGCCAAGCATTCATAACTAGTAATATGTCTTTGTGTCATGATTTGGGGGCTGGTGGTACAAGAAAGCCTGTTACATCTTTAGGGGACCCTGAGAAAATTGGGATAATGATCAAGTTCTGGGAGAATTAGCTGTCTCATTTGTTGTCTAGTCTCTGTGTGACAGAAAGGTGCAGGGTTTATCTGAAGTCCTGCCTGGGGTAGTCTGTGAGGCTGGACCTTTTTAGCCACTTTGAAGTTGTTCTAGATGGAGAGTTTTTGTTTTTTTGGGGTTTTTTTTTTTTTTTTTTTTTTTTTTTTTTTTTTGGTTTTTCAAGACAGGGTTTCTCTGTGGCTTTGGAGCCTGTCCTGGAACTAGCTCTTGTAGACCAGGCTGGTCTCGAACTCACAGAGATCCGCCTGCCTCTGCCTCCCGAGTGCTGGGATTAAAGGCATGCGCCACCACCGCCCGGCTAGATGGAGAGTTTTGAGGAGACTGCAACAGAGGCATTCTGAGATCATCTGGGCATCTTGTCTTCATTGGTGTCTGGTCCTTTTGTTCTGAAAACACACAAACTCTTAAAGGTAGCATGTATATATACATCAACAAAAGCATGGAATGTGCAGTGTGCACACATCTGTTGAAGATGATCTTCTCTATGTTTGAGGTAAATGGCATCCGTTAAGTTTTTTTTTTTGTTTTTTTTTGTTTTTTTTTTGTTTTTCGAGATAGGGTTTCTCTGTGGCTTTGGAGCCTTTCCTGGAACTAGCTCTATAGATCAGGCTGGTCTCGAACTCACAGAGATCCGCCTACCTCTGCCTCCCGAGTGCTGGGATTAAAGGCGTGCGCCACCATCGCCCGGCGCATCCGTTAAGTTTATGAGTCTATTTGGACTGCATAAGCAAACTGTCATGAGGACTCTGTAGCCAACAAGATTTATCCTGTCTCATCCAGTCTCAGAGCTGTTCCGTTGTAGAGGGGTCAGCATATACGTCATCTGACTTATAGCCTTTCTTGGTGGTTGCGAATGGCCAGCCAGCAAACAAAATTGGGACCAGTTTGATATGTTGTAGTCAAAGACGCTGAAATACTTGTGAAATTATTATTAAATAAATTTTGCCACTATGAAAAGACACAAATGGTCTATATTTCTGCATTGCACACACATAACAAGCACCTAAAGCAGGTGTGAATATATGAATCTTGCGATTGTTCCTTAAGGAAAACAACATGGAAATTGTCTTTTATTTTAATATTTATTTATTTATTTATTATGTGTACAGCATTCCTTCCATGTGTGCCCCGCATGCCAGAAGGGGGCGCCAGGTCTCATTATAGATGGCTATGAGCCACCATGTGGTTGCTGGGAATCGAACTCAGGACCTCTGGAAGATCAGTTAGTGCTCTTAACCACTGAGCCATCTCTCCAGCCCGGAAATTGTCTTTTTTTATATGTGTGTATACTGTGTATGTGTAGTGTGTGCCCTGGCATGAATGTGGAGAGCAGATGATAACTTCAGGTATCTGTTGTGTGATGTTTTGATTTTTTTGAGGGGCCCACCACCCAGCTCCCAAATAAATCACACACAGGGGCTTATTCTTAGTTATGAATAGCTGGCATTAGCTTGGTTTGTTGCTAGCCAGTTTTTCTTAATTTATATTATCCCGTCTACTTTTCCCCTCTGGGCTTTTGTCTTTCTTACTTCTGTATGTATCTTACTTTCACTCTTGCTCTGTGGCCGACTGGATGGCTGGGCGGTTGACCCCTGACCTCCATCCTCCACCCCTTGTTCTCTTCAGTTCTCCTATTTCTCCTCTCTGCCCGCTAGCCTGGCCTATCCTTGCTCCTGCCTCATTATTGGCCGTTCATCTCTTTATTAGGATCATCAGGTGTTTTAGACAGGCAAAGAATCACAGCTTCATAGTTAATCAAATGCAGTATAAACAAAAGTAACACACCTAAAAAATAATATTCCCCAACAGATTTCTGTCTTCACCTTCCACTGCTTGAGGCAAAGTTTCTTATTCACTGATGCATACTCTAGCCGTCCTGTGAGCTTTCCAGCATCTGGCTCCTGTCTATTATAGGAGGCCTGGAATTATAGTTTCGTTTACATAGCTCTGATGATCCAAATGAATCCTCATGACTGCCCTCAAGTGCTTTATCTTACAGAGCCGTGCCCTCAGTCCCAACACAGACTTCTTTGTTTAGCTTTTATTTAAGCTGTGTTAAATACGCATTTAGAAATACTCCATAAATTATCTCACTCTGCTCAACTTTAGGTGTGTGTGTGTTGTATGCCCGGGTAGTGTTTGTGAGCCCCTTGAGGTACGAGTGGCAAGGCACTACTAGACTACTCAAAGAGCCCTACAAGAGGCAAATGTCCAAGCTACACCTACAAAGAAAAACAAAAACAAGATCAAGTCACAGAATCCCACCAATCCCACCCTGGAAAGCTCTACCTCTCCTCCAAGAAACCCTGTATAAAGCCTGCCTCCTGCTCAGTGCTTTGCTGCTTCTCTTCCAAGCAGAAGCATCCACTCACTCTTGTGTCTTTCCCAATACATCTTTTCTGTGAATGTTTGTTGTGTGGTGTGACTGTGGTGTTCCTTGGCTCCCGACTGTTAGGATACCTGTTCCCCTCAGAGATGTACCATTAAGAGTGTTCATCTGGGTGTGTGCACCTATAAGTTCAGGTGTGTCTTAACGTTGAATGTTTGGGTGTTTTCTTGTTTTTTCCAGACAAGTTTTCCCTGTGCAGCTGTGGTTGTCCTGAAACTCATTCTGTAGACCATGCTGGTTTCGAATTCACAGAGATTCACCTGCCTCTGCCTACCAAGTGCTGGGATTAAAGATGTGTGCCATCACTGCCCAGCTGATGTTTTTCTTTTTTGAAAACAGAATTCAGGGGCCGGGCGGTGGTGGTGCATGCCTTTAATCCCAGCTCTTGTGAGGCAGAGGCAGGTGGGTCTCTGAGTTTGAGGCCAGCCTGGTCTACAGAGTAAGTTCCAGGACAGCTAGGGCTGTTACACAGAAACCCTGTCTCGAAAAACCAAAGAAAGAAAGAAAACAGAATTCCTCACTAAACCTAGAGCTACCAGATTTTGTTATGCTAGGCAGACTGGTCAGTAAATTTAAGGGACCTGCTTATCCCATGATCACCGAATCCTCACTCCATCCCATCAGCCCTGGGATTCCAGGCCCCACTGTCACTGCAAAGATTTGTTGCTGTTGTTTTGCCCTTTGTTTCTTGTTTTTCTGAGACAAAGTTTCTCTTTGTAGCCCTGGCTGTCCTAGAACTTGCTCATAAGTCCAGGTTGTCAGGTTGTCCTCAAACTCAAAGAGATTCACCGGCCTCTATCTCCCTGGTGCTGGGATTAAAGGTGTGCACCACCACTGCCCGGCTGTTACTGCAACTGTTATGTGTGTGTTGCAGATCTGAGCGCAGGTCTATTGCATGTCAGGAATTCTGTCCACTGGTCATCACCCTAGCCCTGCTTTATGTACTTTACTTGGTTTTGTTGTTTTGAGACAGTATCTCTAGCCCAACCTGGACTGGAACTTGTGATTTCCCAGTCTCAGACTCCTGTGTGCTGGGATTACAGGCTTCCACCACCATGTTGAGTCTCCCATTCTGCTTCTTTTTGTTGTTTTTCTGTTTTGTTTTTTAAATAAAGTCGCTCTCTGTAGCCTTCGATGTACTGGAACTCACAACATAGATCCAGCTGGCCTCGAACTCAGAGATCTACCTCTTCTGCCTTTACCCATTCCCCCAGATTTAAGTGATTCCTCAAATCTCTCTGCCGTATGTAGAAAAAAAAAAAAGTAGGCCTTTGTTCCATCTTATCCTAACATGAACAAACAAACTAGGAGCAGCTGAACTTCTTCAGGCCAACAAGGTAAAGCCTGACCAGCCAGGTTTTACAACGCCTAGCAACCGTTGCCACGACAATTCAACCCTGCTCTCACCTAAGGAATGCGGTTCCTTCAGCAGCCCAGAAGGCTCCGGGGCGGTCGCCCAGCCTTCGGTACTGCTCTATCCCGAAATGCAATGCGGCTCTCACGTTGTCAAGCAACTGTATTTAGGGTGGTCGTAAAACTGCCTACATTTCCACGCTATTTTAAAGCTTGTCTACATAGAGTTGGCAAATAAAAAAAGTACAGAAATAACTACCCCAATGATTGAGCTTTAGAAAGTTTTGTCGTAAATAAAGAGGTCGTCAGAAGCCTAACGTTCTCTGCATTCGCACAGGCATATTTTCGGGCAGCCCTAAACCGGTGGCGTGGGGTCCTTCGGGGTCCTAGGTGGGACACGTGCGCGAGGAAGTGGCTCTGCCTGTGCGCGCGGCTTTCGGGGGTCTCTCAACGTGGAGCTATGGGAGGTCTGGAGAAGAAGAAGGTGAGTGGTTCCCGGGGTGGTAGGACCTCGGACTTGTCACTCTCCCTGGCCGCTGGGGACCGAGAGGTCAGGAGACGGCGCCGGGATGGAACTGCTGCGCGCAGGCCCCTGGAGGCCGGGGAAACGTGTGCTCTGTGGAAGGAGTGAGCCACGGGCGTAAAGTTTATCATTACGACTTCGGACTTTTTCGGTTGAGCTAAGTCCGGTTCTGGACACTGGGGACTGAGAAGTAAGCAATCAGCTGGGGCCCCCCGCTTTCCCGGAGTCACTTCCCGTTGGACAAAAATACAGTGGCCAGAAATTAAGTGCGCGCTAAAGGAAGCTAACGAGGTGCTAGCAGTGAGATGGAGAGTAACAACAGACTCAGTCCGATTAGTGTTGTTTCGGAGGTTCTCTTCTGACAGCATTTCAGTGGAAATCTGGACTGTCAGAACACTTAAGGTGGGTGCGGGGCATGGAAGTGCAGGCTTGGGGTGTCCTCCTTCTTTCCCGACGAGAAGTTCTCGGCACTCAGATAAACAGCAAACTAGTCAGCGTGCAGCTGTGACACCACCCACCCACCCGTAGCTTAAAGAGGCCCTGGCTCCGGCAGAAGTGTTTCATTGTTTATAGGGTTAGGCATTGTCACGATCTCTATTTTAGGGTGACTCCTTAGACCAAACGAGACTTCAGAGCTAAGCAAGTTTACAGAAATTGAAATTTTCAGGCTTCTGGTTAATTTTACCTTTAGCAAACAGAATTTGTTGTCCGAGAGAGTATTGGTGGGAAGCAGGTGTGTGTGTGTGTGTGTATTCTTTTTGTTTGTTTCTGTTCTTGTTTTCAGAAAAGAAGGAAACGGTGAGCAGGTTTACAAAATAGTTCAGTTTTAGCTTTGTTTCAGATCAGAGATAGTTTTTTGTTTTGTTTGTTCAAGACAGGGTTTCTCTGTGTAGCTCTGGCCATCCTGGAAGTTGCTCTGTAGACCAGGCTGGAACTCACAGAGATCCGCCTGCCTCTGCCTCCCGAGCACTGGGATTAAAGGCGTGCGCCACCACTACCTAGCCGAGACAGAGTTTCTTATTTCTGTGTAACCTGTGTTTCCTAAGTAAGCTTGCCAATGATAATGCCAAAGCCTGCTATTTCCCTTTTCTCCTTCAGACATACTTAGTGAAGGAAGCCACAGTGGAAACTAAATGCCAAGGCCGGTAGGCAGGAAAGGCTGGCTGTGTGCAGGGTTTTGGAAAGACATCAACATGGCTGTGAGACAGTGAATAAGTGAGTTCCCATCTAGGTGATGTTGGGGGCTGTGTCGTGTGTGGCTTAGGGTTATTCTGAGCAGAGAAGACAACTAAAGAAAGTGACTTGATCTGAGTATTCTTGCTTCTGTGTGGAGAATACCTGGGCGTGAAGGGACTCCAGGATGGGGAAGGGAAAGATGAGGTGGGCTCAAGTCTTTCCTTTGGATTGCAAGTTTCTGATACCAATCTGTTTTGTTGTGATTTTTAATCATTCTTGAGGCTGTAATATAATTACATTATTTCTCCCTTCCCATGTACTTGCACTTACTCTTTCAAAATCATGCCCCCTCCCTTTTTTAGTAACTATTTGTACGTACATATGTGTCTCTGTGTGTATATTTTCAGGACTGACCATTTGGTATTGGTAGCTAACTGGTGTGTTCTTCCTACTCAGCATTCCTTGGTTGCCTGCAGTTCTTTGTGTAGGGCTGGGGTCTCTTGGGTTGTCTTCTATCCATATTGGCAAGTCTGCTGTCTGTGTTCTGCTCATTTGGGCATGTTGGTGAGGCTTATGGGTATAGCTTCTGACATTCCTAGAAGACACAGGCTCAACAAATGCACTGATCCTCTAGCTCTTAGAATTTTTCCATCCCTTCTTCCGCAATGATCCCTGAGCCTTAGGTGTGGGAGTTGTTTTGTAGTTGTAGTTAGGGACTATGCTGGTTTAGGAAATCAACTTTAGTATTGCAGTTGTAGGTTATCCTTCAGGATCGGTGCTTTACTAGCTCCAAGCAGCTGGCGAGGTTTCCAGTACCGGGCAGGATTTCCCTGTGTTAGAGGGTCTGAGGTCCAGTTAGAAAACTGTTGATTACGCTGTGGTGTTCATACCACTGCACCCTTCAGGTTGTCATGCCATGCTGATTGCTGTTGTGGTTCCTGGGTAGCACAGCTGGGTAGGACTGCTGGTTGCTTCCCTCCTGTAGAAGCTTGCATAGCTCCTGGTACTCGGGGAGTAAGAGGGTCAGGTCAGTTTCAGCTGAGTGATGTCTGATCCCTGCATCTGAAGTGGGCGGTGTTTTCAGCAGTGAGGACTTATTTCCATCTCATGTATGTAACCAAGGGCAACAGCAAAAGCCTGTCATGTTTTGGAAGTCACTTGAACAATGTGACCAACAACTCCCAAAAAGGCTTCTCATGCCTGGGGTTGGTTTTTTTTTTTTTGGGGTGGTCTTTGACTCTTAGAGGGAGAATTGTCAGCCCAGATGAGAGAATTTCACTTAAATGATATGTGTATATTTATGCACAGGCTTAATCTGTATTATTGCTTTGTGCTGTTTGTAAAGAGTCCCTCAGGACTTTATCAGACATCCTTACTGTTATTTTACCCTCCTCTCCTGCGTCTATCTCCCGACTCCCTAATTTAGAACCCCCTCCCCATTTGTCCCATTTACCTTTATCTGATCACTTATTCCCTGATAGTCCCTTCTCTGTTGTGCACCCCCAACCCCCACCCACTGGCCTCTTTTTACTTTCCTGGTTTCCACAGTTACTCCAGGATATGTACTCACATCTGAAGGTGTAGGGCCAGCAGCCTCCAATGAGAGAGAACATGTGATGTTTGTCTGTCTGGGTCTGGTTTACCTCCCTTAAGTATGTTTGGGTTTTTTGTTTTTGTTTTTTAAGTTTCATCCATTTCCCAGGCTAGACCCTGAAGAAAGATCCAAATTTGTTTTAACCTAACACTTTCTTAAACATCCAGCAAGTGCTAGCCATTTATAAACTATAAGAAGGAAAACTTGGTCTGGAGGCAGAGGCAGCCAAATCTCCATGAGTTGGAGGCTAGCCTGGTCTACATGCAAATTTTAGACCAGCCAGGCCTACATAGTGAGACCTTGTCCCAAAATAAATAGGGAAACCTGTACTTCAGATGCAAGTAGAGATGTCTCAGCGAGCTGTAACATCCGACACTGGGTTCCAGAACAGTTTCGACTCTTGAGGCCAAAGTATCTGTTGTGGGAATGGTTTGTCTTACTCATTGTAAGGTGTTTAGAAAAATGTTGTACTGTCCAACACACACACCCTAATCCAAAAAGTTAACTCACCATGTGAACCAGGTTTAATGTTTACAATGGCAGTGCACAGTAACGAGAGATCCATGTGGCACGGGAAAATGGGAAACATCTTGTTTTCTAGCACTGGAGTTAGTAGTGAGACAGACTCTCACTGTATACCACAGGCTGGCCGGAAACTCATTTTCGTCCTGTTTCTTCTTTCTGAGTACTGGAATTTAGGTGTTCACCACCATGGCTGGCTCAGTGGAAATACTTTTCCTTTTTACATATACTTTGTGTTATGTATGTGTGTGCCCCCAAGAAACACGGTGCACATATGGAAGTCAGAGAACAACTTGTAGGAGACCGTTCTCTTCTTCCACTGTGTGTGCTCATCGGGATTTGTGGAAGTGCTTGTACCTCTGAGCCATCTCACAGGCCTCCGTGGAAAACATTGAATGAAGACTGTGGACCTTATCTTCGGCTCCTCCAAGGCTTATCATAGGCCTTTTCCCAATAGTCAGTGTCTGGAGGAAAGGATGAATAGTGTTTCATGTCTGTGGTGTTGTTTATAATATAGGTAGTTCAGGGGACACTGACTCCTTAGATCCAGACCTAGGTTCAGAAGTTCCTGCTGTCTCCCTGCAGAGGAAGGTTTTTTGTTTTTTTTTTTTTTGTTTTTTTTGTTTTTTTTTTTGGAGTGGACACAGGTGGTTAGTGCTTCAGGCTGTTTGGAATAGGGTGCTGCTTCTCTTTAGCACTGATGTGTATGAGATAATCCAGATGATTTGACAAGACCACCTGCTGTTTGGAGGCAAGTAGAAGCCAAGCCTGTTGTCTTCCTTACCCTCATAGCATCTAGCTTAATGCTTTGAACTTGGTTGCTTTCTGGTGAATGAAGCGGGTGAGGGTGCTGGGCAATGGTGTGTGGCTTAAGACAAGCATTTCCAGTTAGAGTAGTGTCACCCCTGAGGGAGGGGGAAATGGCTAGGGGATATCTTAGATGTTGCAGTGGTTTTCGTCTCCCTCCTGAGGAACATACTCTGTTAGTCTGTATTAGTAACATTTTATGTGCCTGTGGTCCGTATGAAAAGGCTGGTGATTAAAAAGGGACAAATAAGATTATGAACAGAGGTTTAGTTAGGTATGCAGGCTCTGGACTCAGACCTGGGTTTGGAGACCTAACCCAAGCTTGTAAACTGTGTGGCTTGAATGGGCAAGCTGGAAATGGACATTCCGATGGCTCTTATCCCACAGGCTTGTGGAGACTGAGTGATATAAACTGTGGAATCACCGTATGTTAGACAGGATATAGAACTGTGCTGGGTAGGTCAAGACCCCAGCATCGCGTGGGTGCGGTGTCCAAGGACAGCATAGAGCTCCTTTGGGCGGGCCATTTCACTCCCTTCAGCAGTCCTCATCCTGGAAATCTGTCTCTGTCACCTACCCACTTAGCTGTCTTTAGAATTCCCTTTTCCCAGAGTTGGATGTCACTCACTGCTGTTGTTCTAACAGAATTTTTTTTTTCCTCCCTAAGTATGAACGAGGCTCTGCCACCAACTATATCACCCGAAATAAAGCCCGGAAGAAGCTGCAGCTGAGCCTGCCTGATTTCAGGTGAGGTTGGAAGGGAGCATACTAGGGTCTGGGAGCCTGGGTAATGGCATAAATGCACAGGGAAAACTCCTGGCCTTGCTTGAGCCATCCCAGCCGTCCTGTGATGTTTCTCCTCTTCCTCACCTCGCTTTGTCAGCTGCGGTCTGAGAACTGGCTCTTCAGATCCAGCTGCCTGGTCATTGCCCTTTATCGTTTCCCTTCTGACAGAAGGCTTCCTGAGTCCTACACGGGGGACTCTCCTTGTAGAATCAAGTCCAGATGTCTCTGCAGTGTGTGGGTCCTCCCATCAGGCTAATCTTGACCACTGCAGCCTCCACTCTGTGTGCGATCTGTTGTGGGGAGGGGTGTGATGGTTACAGGCTTTTGTTACTGATTTGAAGAGATTTTTTTGTTTTGGCTTTGGTTTTGTTTGTTTTCTGCAGGACTGGTCACTGAACATGCTACTCACATGCCTCACACATGCTACTCACACACTCTGCCACTGAGCTATATCCCCAAGCCAGTTTTTTCCTCTTGTTTGAGACAAACGCCCACAGTCCGGACTAGCCTCAAACGTATGCTCCTCCTGCCTCGGTCTCCTGGGTGCCAGGAGAACAAGTGTTCTTACTTGGCTGTCTCTCTTAGAGTGCGCAGCCTTCTGCCTTCTATATGTTTGAAATGTTGATTTCTCAGTATGGCATCCTGGTTTAGGTGCCTGCCAGCCTTTGTGGCTGTTCTGTCTGCTCCCACTGACACACCTCTCACAGTCTTCTTGCACTGTGTGTTTAGGAACTTGTGACCACCAGACTCACTTGAGAGGTGAAACACCAACTCCTTTGCTTCCTGGTCACGCTTGCTTTCTAGCACGCTGTGGCCAGTGTTGTGCCTTTGCTGGTTTAACGGTGGCTTGTCTTCCAGGCGGCTGTGTATCCTGAAAGGCATTTATCCCCATGAGCCCAAGCATAAGAAGAAAGTAAATAAGGGCTCCACAGCAGCCCGAACATTTTACCTCATCAAAGATATTAAATTCCTCCTCCATGAGCCCATCGTCAACAAGTTCCGAGAATACAAGGTGAGGCCTTGGTTCTTTCTTGTGTTTGCAGCTTTCTAACTCACTGAACTTGGACAGGTTGCTGATGCACTCAGGGCCAGTCCTGTAGAGAAGGGGAGGTCTTTCTACCTCAAAAGGATGTCTCAGACGGCCTGCCTAAAAATCATTTGCACCGGACTTGCACATAATTGTTAACCAATTCTGCTCCCCCCACAAGACTATGACTATTTGCCCTCAAGGCAGAAATGGTACCGTGTCAGGGCTTTTGGTGCCTTTTCTGCTCCCAAGCCCTCCTGTTCTTTGTGGGGTTGCTCCCAGGGCACCTGGGCTTCAGTTCCATACATAGAGAAACATTAATGCTAAATGCCACAGGACAGGGACAGCAGAAACCTATTTCCATCATGTGCAGAGGGTGGAAAGACTAATTGAAGTTAAACTGCTGCCTCTGGCTGGAAACAGGGTTTTTTGAGGAGTGGGCGCCACCTAGTGGCCAGCAGGAGACTGGGCAGCAGCTACATCAAACAATGCTAGAAGTGGGCAAGAGGTGGGAAGTGTGTCCAGACCTGCTGTTTATAATCCCACATACTGTTTGGGCTTCTCAGGAGCCCTGGGTCTGGTTTTGAGCATCTGTTGGTTTGGAAGATGTGGCCTTAAAGTTTATCTCAGTTGGTTTTATTCTGGGTAGCTTGTTTTCATAGAGGTCAACAACTAGCTTTGTGTGCTGTCTAAAAGCGAGCCCTTCCAGCCATGATCTACCTCCGTGCTAAACAGGGCTCTTCCTAGGTGGGCATGTGGTGTCAGCATACCTGTGCATCATCAGAGGGGCCCTGGGCTGCCTCTGGTCATTATCATGGATCTGGAGCTCCATGAACTTGGCTATTTGGCAGAGCTTGGCCTTAGGGGCCTGATGGCATGGGCAGTAGCTGTGGCTGGTTTCAGAAGACACTGAGACAGCCTGTCTGGTGTATTCACTCTCCATGGAGGAGCTGCTCAGAAGCCCATGCCACAGCATCATGGCTCCTGCTCCCCTTCCAGGTGTTTGTTCGGAAGCTGCGCAAAGCCTATGGAAAGAGCGAGTGGAATGCTGTGGAGCGCCTGAAGGACAACAAACCCAACTACAAACTTGACCACATCGTCAAGGAGCGGTGAGTCATGCTCCTCAGCGTGCTGCAGTTGCTGCTGAGTGCTGTCCTAGTGCTGGGGATGCAGTGGGGCAAGGAAAGACTTGACTGGCAGAGTGCGTGTCCTTTCAGAGGCGCTAGACCGAAAACCAAGCTGGCACATGAGTGTTGTGATTATAAGTTGCACTGGGTACAGTAAAGGCTGTACGGCAGTGTGCAGAGAACTGGGTACATTGATTACATGCCCAGAGAGACCTCTGGAAAAAGACCTGTTTGAGCCAGCCAGGAGAGCACATTATGAGCAGAGACAGCAGCAAGTTCAGAGCCATGAGTTCCCACACTACAGACTTAGAAGGCATGGTAACATACTTCTGGTTCCTCACTCAACCTTCTCAAAAAGTCCCTCCCCTTCACTGGCTAATCAGTGAATCTTTCCTCTTCAGGAGAATTGGCAAATGCCTGAAGACCCTTGTAGCTTCTACAGTTTGGATGGAATGTGTTTGGTATCTAATGACTAGAAGCCAGCATTGCTGCTGAGTAGTCTTCAGTGTTCATAATAGTTACTGTATCGCAGGACACTTTTGCCTGGAATTGATCAGGTGTAGAACCCTATGCTAGTGTCCGTTTTATAGAGTGAAGGCCTACGCATGCTCCGTTCCAAAATGGTGATGGGTCATAACTTCCTGGGATGTGGAAGAGCCTTGACCTTGGTTTCATTCATAAAAGAAATAACATCTGGTTTCCTCAGCCAGAACCAAGGCGCATAGAAAACCTAATAGTCTAGAAAGGGTGTGTGCTTGTCCTCCAGATTAGAAAGTTAGGAAACTGAGGCACCAAGGAGACTGGGGGAAGTTCCTGACTTCTGTCTCAGGAACCTAGACAGCTGTCCCATCACTTGCTAAGTTCATGCTAGGCTTCCCTTCATCTTAGCCTGCTTTTGCTGACCTGAGACCTCTCAACTCAGTTGCAGTAAACAGTTCTGTCTGGGGCGTGGGACCTCAACCATTTGTAGTCGTGTGCCCTTCAGAGCTCTTTATGACAAGGCGGATCATCATCATTGTCATCCTTTTTGTTTTGTGTTTGTGTGGGACAGGTTTTCTCTGTGTAGCCCTGGCTGTTCCGGAACTCGCTCTGTAGACCATGCTGGCCTCAAAGTCACTGAGATCTACCTGCCTCTGCTTCCTGAGTGTTGGGATTAAAGGCGTGTGCCACCACTGCTCAGATTTTTTTTATAGTTTTTGGAGACAAGCTCTCCCATAGCTCTGGCTGTCCTGGAATTCACTATGTAGACCAGGCTAGCCTCAGACTTGCAGAGATCCTTCTTCTGTCTCCCAAATGCTGGGATTAAAGGTGTGCACCACCACTCCTGGCAGACCCTTTTCTTCAAATGAAGCTTCCTGGAATGTGGTTCAGATATCCTGCAGCTCTAGGGCAACCTGGCTGGAGGAGGGGAACTGAAACCTCTGCAGATGCAGCCATACTCAGGGTTTGTTTAGAGCCACAAGAAGTAGATGGATGGGTGGCTTGGTTTGGTTGATTTTAGTTTGATTTTTTGGAGATAAAGTCAGCCTCCCAAGTGCTGGCTAGGATTACAGGTATGTACCACGCACCACTAGATCTGGTTAAAGATAACCTTTTTTTTTTTTTTTTTTATAAACCTCGAGACAGGGTTTCTCTGTGTAGCGTTGGAGCCTGTCCTAGAACTCACTTTGTAGACCAGGCTGGCCTTGAACTCAAGAGATCTACCTGTGTCTGCCTCCCAAGTGCTGGGATTAAAGGCGTGCGCCACCACTGCCCATCTAAAGATACACTATTTTAAGTTAGCATTTTGTCCAGCAGTGTCATTTTCTAGATAAAGTTGGAGCTAGAAGAGGCCTAGTGACCCAGTTAGGGTCGCAGCTCAGAACGGGACTAGAGTCCACGTGTCAAGACTTGTGGCTCAGTGTCTTCACTTTGTACTACAATTCTGTCCCTCTGTTTGGAAACTGTCAAAGGCAGTGGTGACTCTTACCCAAGTGACACTTTGACCGCTTCCTCATTTACCATGGTGTTCCTGGAAATTATTCTAACTGGACATAGTCCCTGTGCCAGCATTTTACATTGGTTCTGTCAATTACACGGATCTGGGTGCTGAGGAATAGGAAGACAAAGCCCACTCAGGTGACCTGTAGCCTTGCCCAGGTGCAGGTTGCTGCTGGGAAAGCAGCCCTACTCTTCCTGGCCCACTAGTCCAGCTTCCCATTTTTCCCTTTTTCTCGTGGGTCTTTGAAGATTGCACTTTCAAAGAGAGTCAGAGAACCACAGTTTGGTGTCCCCTCATTCACAAAAAGGTAACAAGTGGTCAAGGGTTCTGTGCTATGTCCTGAGATGATCAGAGTTCCCTGGGAGTACCCTAGTTGTTCAGTCACTATAGAGTTGTTTCCATGTGCTGGTCAACTTGGGGAAGTTGTTGCTACCACTGGGGCAGGGAAGAGCTGTGGCAGTGCCTGCCTGGCTTGGGTGTCAGGGCCTCTGGGGTCACTGCTGGGATGAGGCAGAGTGGGTAGAGACCCTTGGAGCCCAACAGAATGGGCTCATGCGCACTGTTCTCACCACCTTACAGGTACCCCACTTTTATCGATGCTCTGAGGGATCTTGATGATGCCCTGTCAATGTGCTTCCTCTTCTCCACCTTCCCACGGACAGGGAAGTGCCATGTGCAGACCATTCAACTGTGTCGCCGACTCACTGTGGAGTTCCTGCACTATGTCATTGCTGCCCGAGCCCTGCGCAAGGTGAACTAAGGTTCTCCTGGGATCCCTGGTCCTCCCGTTAGCCCTTGGTTTTCATACTGTCTCTCCCCACTCCCCAGGTCTTCCTGTCCATCAAAGGCATTTACTATCAGGCTGAGGTGCTGGGCCAACCCATCATATGGATTGCACCCTATGCTTTCTCCCATGATGTAAGTGTGCCTTGGGTGGGGGGTGCCTTGTGCTTATTCCTAAAAGATGTGGGTGGGTGCTGTCTTTGGAGTCCAGCCTTGCTGGGTTCTTGATTGTTGACTGCTGTGTAGGGGTGGGGGATTTGGGGTGGGGGCAGGGTAGGATATGTGCTTTACAGCCCAGTCAGTCAGTAGTGCTGGATCAGCCATAGGATTCTCAGTGTCAGGTGCACACTCCGACCCACAGGCTAATTCTAAATAGGCTTACCTCCTCCAGCACTTCTGTTAGAGTGTGGTTCTCAGCCTTCCTAATGCTGCAGCCCCTTAATACAGTTCCTCATGTTGTGTGGCTCCCAGCCATAAAGTTATTTTTGTTGTGACTTCATGAATAATGTTGCTACTCTTATGAATCATAATGTAAATATCTGATGTGCAGCTGGCCTTAGGCGAGTCAGATTGAGAACCACTGTGCTAGGTGATCTTGAGCATGGTCCTTCACCCTTCTGTCTCAGTTAATAGCGTTCTCATCTTCTCAGGGGAAAGAAGTCTTGAAAGGACCTGGCACTGAATGGATAGCTGCCTTTGTGATTGAATAGGCAGTGAGGATAGCTCTGGGGGCTGTGTATACTCAGAGTTTTGTACAGTTGCCACCTGAGTCAGATGGCAGAGCCCAGCCCTCCTCTCAGACCCACTGGGGTCTTTGTTCCCACTCGGCCTTTGACACACCACAACAAAAATGCTTTGCTCCTGTGTCCTCTGCCCATCCCCCCACAGCCTGGAGCCCTGCTGACTCCAGGGAAGGGAGCACAAGAGAGGCACTTAGCACATGGCACTGACTTTTACTGGCTTATCTGTAAGTGCTTAGGATTGTTCCTAGGCCTCTGCTAAGAGGAGTCTGGTTTTGCTTTCCATGGAAGCCTTGCTAACTCCCAATCCCCCAGAAGGTCAGTCCTAGCTGGACTTGCCCCCTGAATTGTCGGTCTGTGGGCTGTACTTGATCTCCTTTCCCTCATTCCCTCCTGTTCACTAAGCAGGGATTGGTACCTTGCATAGAGAACAACTGTCAGAGAGAGCTGAGGCTCTGTGCTCGGTGGGCTGCAGGGGTGCCTGAGACTGGAACCTGCCGTGTCTGGGTGAACTGGTAGTGGGGCTTCTGTCTGTGAACAAGAGGTGGCCTTGGAGTTCATCCGTCCCTTTTCCAGTTCCTTGAGGCAGGCTTGGGGAGCCAGTGTGCATGGCCCTTCCTTCCCTGCTCCTCCTCCTTCCTGCCTAACTTCTTTGGCCCTTTCTGTCTTTCCTTCCTTCTGATGTCAAACCCCCATGCTTCTCAGACTGCTCTTTGTGTGTTCTTGGGGTGGTGAATAGGACCCTGTGAGGGCCATCCTCCACACAGCTGGCCCTGGGGGAAGGGCATGGTCTGCCCATGCCTCCTTCCTCCCAGCTTGCAGCCAACTGCTTCCTCTCAGCAAAGGGCCCTCATATGCCCCTCCCCTGGGCAGCCAATGCTGGGCATACAGCAGTGGGTCTTGGGGTAATGGCGGTGGTGAGGGCAGAATGTACCTACCCTGCTCAGTACTATGGAAAATGAAGTTTGTGCCTATCAGGAAAAGCCTGGTGGCATAGACTGCTGCCTGGTAGCAAGATGGAAAGCTAGCTCAGAGTTGTGGGTGCCCCAGGCTGAGGGGATGTTGTGATTATTATCAATTTTGACATGTCTTATAAGTGTTTCGTGGTGGTTAGCAGGGCTTGGTGGGCTCTTGGGTAGGCCTTTCTGACTTTAGAGGATGGGACCATTCCAGAGTTGAGACACTTGATCCATTCTGTAGATCAGCTCCTTGTGGTAATGGCAGAGGGAAGCCATTCACTTCTGCCTGCCGGGTGGCAGCTGGGAAAGGTGTTCTACCTCTGCTTCAACATAGTGTTAGGCCTAGGCTGGGTCTGAGACAGAAATGCTAAACTCTGAGCTTCATCACACACTCTGCAGGGTGTGGGTGGTCTGAGTCCTGTTAGCCACACCTGGCTTTCCGAGGCACCTCGGCCAGTAGAAGTCATCACCTCTTCTGGGCTGTGGACCATGAGCTGCACACATAGGCCTTTCTGGGCCCTGGGAAGGCTGCCTCAGTGCTCCCAGTTGCCCTGAAGCAGATCTTAGGCTCATGCTGGGATGGGTGATGGACAAGGTGTGTCCTCTGTCTAGGTCCCACTGATAATTGAAGGAGGAGTGGGAGAGCCGGGGCCAGAAAGAGGCAGGGCCAAGTGCAGTGGAGCACTGCAGACCACTTCCTGTCTTTGTCCTGGCTCTCCTTTACCACATGGGAACCTGGCACTGGTCTCCATGGACCCAGAGCCTTTGGGGCCTCTGTCCAGAGCCTCCCTTGTGCTTAAGATGCCCGTGGGTTTGTGGGCATAATACCTATCTCCACCCCTGTGCTAACACTGCTGATGTGTCTCCTTATTCTCCCAGCATCCTACGGACGTGGACTACAGGGTCATGGCCACCTTCACTGAGTTCTACACCACTCTCCTGGGCTTTGTCAACTTCCGCCTCTACCAGTCACTTAACCTTCACTACCCACCCAAGGTAGAGTCTAACACCTTCTCACCTAGCCCTCCTGTCCTACACTGAGGCAAGGGGCTGTAGGTGTACTCTTCCCTCTTCCCAGCTTGAAGGTCAGGCCCAGGCAGAGACAAAGGTCAGCGAGGACACATATGCTCTGGACTCTGAGAGCTCTATGGAGGTAAGATGGGCTTCAGGAGCACTGGCCCTACGCCATTCTATCCCGTGAATAGTGAGCGATTTGGCTAGGTAGGTGGTTCTAGGATTTACTTTTATGACTGACCCAGATGTGGCCTGGAGCTGTTTTTGCTCTCCAGCCTATCCCACGCCCAGATGAAGTTCCCCACCTGCAAGCAGGCCACCTTGCAGCTCTGCTTCCCACCTACAGAAACTAGCAGCCCTCAGTGCCAGCCTGGCCCGAGTGGTGGTGCCTACTACAGAGGAGGCTGAGGCCGATGAGTTTCCTATTGATGGGGTGAGTAAGCACAGTGCTACCTTCCAGGAATACATGGGATGAGACTGGGTGGGGGCATCACCTAGAATCTGGGATCTGCCAGTCCCTTCCTTCTGGTAGAGCTGGATGGCCTGGTGGTGTGACACTTGGCCCCTTCCCTGCAGGAGATGACAGCACAGGAGGAAGGTCGCAGGAAAGAGCTGGAGGCACAGGAAAAGCACAAGAAACTCTTCGAAGGCCTAAAGTTCTTCCTGAACCGAGAGGTGCCCCGTGAAGCATTGGCCTTCATCATCAGGTGGGGAGGCCTTTAATTAGCCCATAGTTGTGACTGTACAGTAGTCCGGTCTCCATCCTAGCCTAGTGGTGTATTGGTAACATCATGAGGGTGTCTCCACTCCTCACAAAGCAGTGTGTGCAGAGCCTACAGGCAGACACCTCCAGAGCACTCAGCTAAGGGGAGAGCTGTTCTGTCACTAGCTGAGTTCTTTCTGGACCAGGACTGTAGATGTCATCCCAGATAGGAGGCTCTGGGGTGGGTAAGGCACTTCCTGGAAGGGTGGGTTTGTGGCTAGTAGGTTCAGGGATGCTTCCAGGGCAGGCAGCTCATGCCTAAAAGGCTTACGGGTTTTCTGCCTACCTGTAGGAGTTTTGGTGGGGATGTATCCTGGGACAAGTCTTTGTGCATTGGAGCCACCTATGACGTCACAGACTCCTGCATCACCCACCAGATTGTTGATCGGCCTGGGCAGCAAACCCCCGTCATTGGCAGGTAGACTCTCAAAGCCCTCAAATGCCCTCTGGGGGTGGGGGTTCCTAGGCCCTGGTGATGCAGTGGTACCTCTGATTGTTCCCTTGTGACCTGACTTTGCTGGCTACTCTCCATCAGGTACTACGTACAGCCCCAATGGGTGTTTGACTGTGTGAATGCCCGGCTCCTCCTCCCTGTGGCAGAGTACTTCCCTGGGGTGCAGCTGCCACCACACCTTTCACCCTTCGTATCTGAAAAGGAAGGAGATTACATTCCCCCTGAGAAGCTGAAGCTGCTGGCTCTGCAGCGGGGAGAGGACCCAGGTGAGCTGGGCAAGGATGGGTAGCAGTATGGACAGGCTCCTCTGGTGGCCCTGGCTCCTGTGCCCAAGCTGGCCATTTCCCTTGGCTACAGAGTTGGCAGGCTCCAGAGAAAAGGACAGCGGGAACAGAAAGCCCTCAGCCTTTCAAGCATTTGCAATGTTAGTCTGCTATTGATATTTGGAGTAGCTGAGCAGAATGAACCAGTGTTGTCAGTGTTTGCACGGGTAGCAAGGGTGTTTTATTTGAAGGCCGCTCAGCTGGGGCTGTGAAAGCTGTTGGGGGCCATTGCGGGAGCATCCTTGAGCTGCCTTGGAATGCAGAAGTTACTGTCTGTAGGAGACTTGAAAGAGGAAGATGAGGATGAGGACGATGAAGATGATGACAATGAAGGTGATGGTGATGCGGGGGAAAATGAGGAGGAGGAAGATGTAGAAGCTGATTCAGAGAAGGAGGAGGAGGCGCACCTGTCAGCCTTGGAGCAGCAGCGTCTGGAAGGGAAGGTAGGGAAGCACTGGACAAAGCTCTGCCTGGGAAGCAGCCAGTTACCCACAAGGCCAAGTGCTCATGCAGCTGCGTTGTTTCCCCAGAAGCCCCAGGTGGTGGCCGGTACCGTGAAACTGGAAGACAAGCAGCGACTGGCCCAGGAGGAGGAAAGTGAGGCCAAGCGCCTGGCCATCATGATGATGAAAAAGCGGGAGAAGTACCTCTACCAAAAGATCATGTTTGGCAAACGGCGCAAAATCCGAGAGGTAGGTTTCTGCTCTCTGACGAGGCCCCCACACATCTGCACGGTTGAGCTAACCTGGCCCATTTGGCCAAGGCCTGTTTTCTTTGGAGTTTTGTGTGTTTGGTTTGGTTTTACACAGCTGGGAATAGAAGCCAAGGCCTCACTCTTCTTAGAGAGTCCCCACCACTAAGCAGCATAGCTAATTCCCATGCTTACTCAGAGCTGTCCTGAGGATGGGCCTAGCCCAGCAGACTCAGGAAGTCTTTCTTAAGCTCCTGTGTGCTTGTTCAGTGTGTGTTAGCTGGGGGTTTATTTGGTGCTTGAGCACTTGCTTTGATCACAGAGTTGAGGGGGGCAGGCAGGAGAAGAAAACAAAGCAATTGTGTACCGAGGCCTCCAGAGTGGCTGGCAGCCTTGCCTTAGGGTGTGTGTGGGGGGCACCAGGTTCATCTTAAAAACAGCATAGCCAGGTGATGGTGGTGCACACCTTTAATCCCAACACTAGGGAGGCAGAGGCAGGTGGATCTCTGTGAGTTCCAGGACAGCTAGGAGTGTTTCACAGAGAAACCCTGTCTTAAAACACATACACAAACACACAGAAATCACAGTAGTTTATCAGGTCTTTCCATGCCATTGTACAGTGTGACCTGTTCCCTGCTGATAGTCATGCTCAGGAAATAGAGAGCAGACCCTGGCCCCCTCTGAATGGTTCTTAGGAGCATCACCTGTGGTCCTGGAAAGAGTCTCCTCCTTGTGCCCTCTCTGCTAGCTTTCAATAAAGGTTTGAGTGGTATTCTTCTTTCCCTCAGAGCTAGTGCAAGAGTCGATTTAGAATCTCCAAGCCGGAGATTTGTGGGCTGTAAAATATAGGCAATGGTAGGGCTTCTGTTCTTTCACCCCGAGGTACAAGTCGGGGTCTCTGGTTATTTGCTTGTTAGCTTTTCTAGAAACTCTGCTAAGGGAAGCCCCCATAAGAGAAGAGATCCATCCCTCTTTGCTTGCTCTTTATCCTATCCTGAGTTCTCCTTCCTTCTCACAGGCCAACAAGCTGGCGGAGAAAAGGAAAGCCCATGATGACGCTGTGAGGTCTGAGAAAAAGGCCAAGAGGACAAGGCCTGTGTGAGCTCCAGCCGTTCCTCCCTGGGAGCTGGACATCGTCACTGGGAGCTGGACATGGCAGCAGCTAGTGGGATGCACACGCACCTGAGCACCAGCCCAGCACCCTCATACTCTGGTTGTGTGTGGCCAGTCCTAGCTTCCATGAAGTTCATGCCGGTGTCTGGACAAAGCCCAGTTCTTCCTCCAGGAGTCTGACTGATATCCTCATTCTTTTCAGCTTTCCACAGCCTCCTACACAGCTGTGCCCATAATTCTCAGGGTGCTGTTGTGGAATAAGGGTGGGGAGCTCTTGTTATTAAATGGCTGAACTTTTGCAGCCAGTTAGATTCTGTGTTCAGAAGCCTCCCTGGGTTGGAAAGGAGTCACCTGGACAAACCCAGATGGGTCCAGGCACACTCAGAACTATGGGTCCAGGGATCCGAGGAGGGACACAGACTCTGCGTTTGGGTTTCATAGTCGCACTGGCCTGATTCCTGTTTCAGCTAATGTTCTGAAACCTTCCCACAAGCAGTGTGCTGAGGGTTCACTCGTCTAGTCATGGTCTATAAACATCAGCTGGTTTGTACTTCCTGCTGGAGCTCATCAGAAGGTGAAAGGTGTCTTAGGGATTCTATTGCTGTGATAAAACATGATCAAAAGCAAGTTGAGAGCTTGTTTGGAGGTTCTAGCAGGGGAGCACAGCTACTCGTATACCCTTGATCGAATACAGGTCCTCCTCTATTCGGGCTGGAGAGATGGCTCAGCGATTAAGAGCACTGCCTGCTCTTCCAGAGGTCCTGAGTTCAATTCCCAGCACCCACATGGTGGCTCACAACCATCTACAATGGGATCTGATGCTCTCTTCTGGCACACAGGTGTACATGCAGAGAGCACTCATACATAAAATTAAATAAAGTTTTAAAAAAAAGTTGAGGAGGAAAGGGTTTATTTGACATATACTTCCATATTCCTGTTCATTACTGAAGTCAAGACAGGAACTCAAAATAGGAAGGATCCTGGAGGCAGGAGCCTCGATGCAGAGGCCATGGAGGGTGCTGCTTACTGACTTCCCATGACTTGCTCAACTCACTTTATCTCACATTAGAAATATAAATAACTTTAAGTTTCCCACAGTCTTTACAAATTTAAATACCTTAAAATTTCAGTCCCTTTAAAAATAGCCTCTCTTTTAAAAGTCTCTCAACTGTGGGTTCCAGTAAAGTACTTTCTTCAAGAGAGAAAAAAAATAAGAGCACAATTAATTCAAAGCAAATCCAAATTCCAACCGCCCAATATCTGGGATCCACTCGATCTGATCTTTTGGACTCATCCAGAGGACTGGAGTCTTTCTCAGCTCCACCCTCTGTAGCACGGTTTGTCTTCTAGGCTCTAGCTGCTGCTGGCGGTTTTCCCCTTGCTACTGGCATCTCTCACCAATAGCCTCTCATAGTAGGCTGTCTTCATGGTGCCAAAATTCAACTTCTTTGCATGACCCCTTTAGCCTGGGCCTTTAATTACTAGTGAGACCTCACCTTCACCAGTGGCCTCTCACAGTGCCAAGCTTCAGCTGCTTTCCATGACCCTCATGCCTTCAAGTCCAGCTGCCAACATGAGGTACAACCATGGGCACCCCTGGAACAGCTTCTCTGTGCCATCAGGAAACACTTTGAGAAGCTTTCATGAGAGATGCTGGTCTCTCTCTGTGTATATGTGTGTATGTTTTCAAGATAGGGTTTCTCTAGCCCTGGCTGCCCTGAAACTCAGAGATTTACCTATCTTTGCCTCCTAAATGCTGGAATTAAAGGCATGCGCCACAACCACCTGACTTTGGTCTCTTAATCACTGCTAATTCCTTAGCTCCGGCTAACCAGCATTCTTTTTTCAAACTGTCAGATTCCACTTCCTGGCCCCTAAAGGCTTGTAGCCATATCATAATGCAAAAATGCATTCAGTCCAACTTCAAAAGTTCCCATAGTTTTGTATAAGTTTTTATTATTTAAAAGTCTAAAGTCTTCGGAGATTCATGCAATCTCTTAACTGTAATCCCTTGTAAAGTCAAAAAGCAGATCACATACATCCAACATATAATGGCACAGGATAGACATTACCATTCCAAAACACGAGGAAGGAGCATAGTAAGGAAATACTGGACAAAAGACCGAAAACAAGCTGGACAAACTCCAAACTGCGTGCATTTTGCATGTCTGATGTCAAAAATGTTCTTCAAATCTCCAACTCCTTTCAGCTTTGTTAACTGCAACACACTTCTCTCTTGGGCTGGTTCCACTCCCTGTTAGCAGCTCTCCTCGGCATGTATCCCACAGCTCTGATAACTCCAAAATCTTGGGGTCTCTAAGGTAATCTAGACTTCACAGCTTCACACAATGTCTTCATGCAATGAGTGACCTCTGCTGTGGTCATGGTCTCTCTTCATTTTGATTCAGGGACACCCCTGACACATACTTGACCTCAGCGGTTTTCCTTAGTCTCTGATGCAAATTCCATAGCCCCTTTCTGAAGCACAATTAATAAAAACTCAGGGTCAGATTGGGATTAAACCTGAAGATCTGAAAAGCAAAACAGCCAGTCACTGGCTCCTTACCTGGACCTCAGTCTGAAATGGTGATCCTGCCTCCCAGAGTCTCAGAAGGAGACTATGAGAACTGTCTTGCCCTGTTTTATATTCCTCTCTAGGGTTGGGATTAAAGGCATGCACCACTGGGATTGAAGGTGTGTGTCACCATAATCTGGCTGTGAGGCTGACTAATGGGCCTGTTTTAACTCTCAGATCTTCAGGTAGTCTTTATTAAAATGCATTTGGAATGCCACTACACCTTTCTTCTTAACTTCAGAACCACGTGACTGAAGCTACCAAATTCTGCTGCTTACTGGGCTTGGAACATGGCCCCCTCATTCAATTACATTTTCACCAGCTTTCTGTTTTTGGTAGTTTCCTCCACTGCCAAAGCTTGGCTGTCTTGAAACTGGATCTATAAACCAGGCTGGCCTCAATCTCAGAGATCAGCCAGCCTCTCCCTGAGTGTTGGGATTAAAGCTATCTACCACCATGCCCTGCTTCAGGTTTGTTGTTTTTTTTTTTTTAATGAGTTCCTTTTTGCAAATTGGAAACAGCTGGGTGGGATCTTCCCCTAACATCACCATTCCCTTCACTCTTAATCTGTTTATTTCCTTGAACACAGAATTTAGCTCTGTTCCACTTCCTGGTGCCCCTTTTCTCCTCAATCTATACATTTTGTATTTTTTCTTGCTCAGCTTGTTCCTTTTTCATTATAAATCTTTATAAGCATGAATGTTGTAGGAATTTAGCAGAATCACTGTATGGGGCAGATATGAACAACTGTTTTCTAGAAGTACTTTGACCTTGAAGAATCCTTGAGGAAGCAGTGATTATTTTGCTGAAGGGGTTTTGCAACCATCCCACGACTTTGGTCACAAGATGCCTCAGGCACACCTGAGGTTCTTGTATTATTGTGTATTGCAAATGATACATAATGAAGGACTAGAGTTGGGGCGTGTGATGTTCCCCTTCAGTAAGACGTGATGATCTCCTTCGGTAATATTGGGGACCTTGGTATGTGTAACTTCCAATAAATACACCTTTGTATAGCTATTTGAGGTTCAGTCCGTCTGAAGAGGCCAGACCTTCCTACTGCCACGTAGGCCTTAAAATTTCATCTTAGAGTCCCTTCTTCAACTGACTCGTCCTACATGGTGCACCCTGACATGTGAACACTAACCACCACATGACAGTCTATGCTTGGTGGTTTTGAGATTTCCTTTGCCAATGGAATTAATCTAAATCTCTTCACTTTAGCCTCAGGCAGACTCTTTATCAAAATGTCACAAGAACAGTCTCTAGGCAACATATTAACATTCCTCTCCTCTTGAAACCTCTTGATCCAGGCATCCACAGTTCAAATCACACTCAGTACCACTGCCTTCCATGCTCCTACTAGGATGGCCCATTAAGCAACACTTAAAGTGTTCAACTGCTTTGCTAAACCACAGTCCCAAGGTCCATATTACTTCAAACAAAAACACACTAAGGCCTAATGCAACAATACCCAAGCCCCTGGTACCAACTTCTGTCTTAGTGTTTTGATTGCTTTAAGAGATACCACAACCACAGCAACTTTTGTAAAGGAAAACATTTAATTGGGGCAGGCTTACAGTTTCAGAGGTTTGTTATGTTACCATTGTAATGGTTTAAGTAAAATGCTGCAGGTCCCTGAGTGGTGGCAATGGGCAGTGGGCCATGAGGCCACACCACAGGTTGCTGAGTGGTGGCAGGCAGCAGGCAGTGGGTCCTGAGACCAAGGCGGGCCATGAAGGCAGCTGGGTCCCAGGCAGGGAGCTGCGTAGCAGGTGAGAGATGGATAGGCACACCATGCAGAGTGAAGTTGGATATTTATTTAGTGGAAGGAAGGGGGAAGAAGAGAGAGAAACGGGGAAAGGGGAGGAGTGGGGAAAAGGGAGAGACAGAAAGGGAAAGGACTCAGGATGGTGGAAGCTGAAGATCAGCTTGCCTAGGCAGACAGGAGAGGGAATGGGTATGGTTTGTCTCTTAAAGGGTCAGGACAGACCATTACAACCATCATGGTGGGACATGGCAGAGGCAAACATAGTGCTGGAGAGGGAACTGAGAATGGAGAATCCTGCAGGCAACAGAGTGGTCTGTCTCACTGGGCGTTCCTTGAGCATATATGAGACCTCAAAGCACACTGTCACAATGATACACTTCCTCCAGCAAGGCCATACCCCCTAATAGTGCTGCCCCCTTTAGGGGCATTTTCTTTCAAGTCACCAGAGTCTTTAAATTTCCCTCTAAAACTTCATAAGGGCAAGCCTCCATATGTACTGCTCTCAACATTTTTCTCCTTTAAGCTCCTCAAGAACTTCCAACTGAGCTCTCAATGCAAAATGGCTTTTGTAGCCCAAAATTCCAAAGTCCATAATCCTCCTCAAAACATGGTCGGCCAAAAAGCTACGGAGAAACCCTGTCTCGAAAAATCAAAAAAAAAAAAAAAAAAAAAAAAAAAAACATGGTCGGATCTCTCATAGCAACACCCCACTCCTGGTATCAACTTGTCTTAGGGTTTCTATTGCTGCGATGAAACACCAGACCAAAAAGCTAGTTAGGAAGTAAGGAGTTTATTTGTCTTATGCTTCCATATTGCTATTCATCACTGAGGGAAGTCAGGACAGGAACTCAAGCAGGGCAGGATCCTGGAGGCAAGAGGTGATGCAGAAGCCATGGAAGATTCCTGCTTACTGGCTTGTTCCTCATAGCTTACTCAGCCTGCTTTCTTGTAGAATTCAGGACTACTCAAGACCACCCAGGTAGTGTCTAGGGATGGTGGCACCCACCATGGGCTGGACCCTCCCCATTGATCACTAAATGAGAAAATGCCTTCTAGCTGGATTTCATGAAGGCATTTCCTCACCTGAGGCTCCTTCTCTAGATTGTGTCAAGTTGACACACAAAACCAATACAGAAGGCTAACGGTGAGAAATGAGGCCTAAGGGCAGGTAAAGCCTAACTTTGTTGGGGACCAGCCTCGACAAAATACCTCTTGCCAGGGTAGAGGCATGGGGATTTAGAAATATTGTAAAGAATATGAAGAAGCTAATGAAAATAATAAAACAGAGAAACATATAGGATAGTTATCTGGAGGAAGTTCCAGTGAGTACTGGAATTCACTCGTGTTTAATTTCCAATTGCTTTAAATACCCCTGACCCCAAAAGGTAAGAGTAAGACAAAAAAACTGCATTAACATGATACAAGGAAATGAACATACCAATTGAAGGTTGCAGGCTACATCCATAATTAAACATTCTGTTGCTAGAACAAAACACGCTCACACCCTAGACCAAAACATTCTGTAGGCAAATTCCCTGAGTGGAATCCAAAGTTATTTTTGTAAAGGAACTGGACCCTTAGTTGGATCCTTAGACTTTTGTTTCAGGTAGAAACATATCTACTTCTCTATTCCTGAAGTATAAGGTCTGGCTTTTAGCCACACCTGTTGACAATAACTTTGAGAGAGCAGAACTCTGATCTAAATCTAGGTGGAACCTTTGTTTGAGGTAGAAGCACAATAACTCTGAAGGAACTAGAGATGAGTCCCAGCTCTCTGACCTTTGGTCAACATGGAAATAGGCTCACATTTTTGGGCCTCTACAACTTTCCATTCAGGTGTGCTGGTATCCCAGCTGGTAACCTGTTGGGGAATATTATGTTAAGGTGTGTTACTTTTATGTTGCATTTATTTAACTCTGTGAAGCTGTGATACTTTACCTGTCTAGAACACCTGATGGTCTGATACAGCTTTAAACGTCCAATAGTGAGGCAGGAGAAAGGAGAGGTGGGGCCAGCAGGTAGAGAGAATATATAGCAGAAAGTTGAGAGGAGAAGTGTGGCTTGTGAACTCGAGAATCCAGTTTAAGGCCGCCCCCAAACTGATGGTCTCACTATAGATGTGGGATGAGAGGATTCTGTCTGAAGCCAGCTCTGACGTGGCAGTTGGGGGAGGCAAGAACCAAAGGGTTGGGACTTTTGGAGCCCAGGAGATGACTCAGGCCTGCATGGGTATATGTGTATCTAGGGTTCACATGGACAAAGGAAAGCCCATCAGATATGGAAGAATGCCTGGCAGCCAGGCTGATGTGGAATTTTCCCCATTCCAGAGTTGCCTAGAAATGTCGGGGGCAGTGGGGCTCTGACGTGGCCCATGCTCAACTGGATGGTCAGCTGGTTTTGTACTGCCCAAACTGGGTCTAACTCCAGACTAGTTCCCGTCCTTGGTTCTGCTTTGGAACGAAGGACAGCCTGAACCTAGACAGTCACCCACTTCCTATTTGCACAGCGCTCTTGAGGATGGGCATTCTTAAAAGGGAAGTTAGCAGAACCGGAACCGTTGAAGTGACAGCCTTTGGAGCCAAGCT